GGGAAAGAGATTTTTTTCTAGTATCTAAAAATTGACAACCCAGGTACTTTGGACAAGGGCTGGAAGAAATTAAGTCATTCATTAAATATGAGGGAGCAACTATCTACTTTAATATAGACTATCAGAGATTCAAAACAAGCTGTGAATCAGTGACATTAACACCAGTCTCTGGTGCAGAGGAACCGTCCTACAGTAATGCCTTTCAAAAGCACTGCGTTCATGCATGCAGTCCTAGTCTTTGTCTAAGAATGAGCTGTTACTAAAAATTGCTTGCAACACCTTTTGCACAAAGTACAGGCAACATTTTTGCCTCAAGTAGTTTCCATCTGTATCCTTAACATTTAGGAGCGCTGGTCACCAAAAAAAGAGTCAAAGTTTGGCATAAACGTTGGAAATGGCACTTGCAGGAGACGTAAGGCCACAGGCAGTGACAGAGCTGAATCCTTTCCCATCCCTAAGGTAAGGGACGGCTGCTGTGGCTCTGAACTCCTGCAGCACAAACAGACCAATGTGATTACCTGTATTTCCTAAGTGCCGTAAAGGCTATTAAGCAGATATAGACAACAGATCAAATCTGAGGGAGCCGAGATTCATCCACACTCACACAAACCCAGTGTCGCTACTGGGGAAAAAGGAAAAATCACAGTTGCCTATCAGTTCGCATGCAGCGACAGGAGGAGGCAGCAATGAGAACACATATGAGGTGAGCTGCTCCTCCAGTCATGCTGCCTTCTCACCATCATTATACTCAGACTTGAGTTAGGAAAAAGTTATGCCTCCAGTTAGACTGATCACAAAACGCACCCTTCTCAAGTATCAGCGTGCTTAAGGGAGGTTCAGTTCCAAAGAGCTTCTTCGCTGTTATTTAAGACTTCCTTATTTTTCAAGGCTGGCTGATACACTACGTTATTGCTTAGTTTTGTGCTTTTAATAAGGAAACTACTGTCAGCAAACTTACGATTTTCCTGCTGTCTAGTATTTGAATAATTTCATTAATAAAACGTTCTACCATTTAAAGTCAAATAGTTGGCTGCTTCGTCTAGTTTTGAAGCAAAAGGTAGTCAAAGAATTAGGGACTCCAGCTACAGATGGGAAGTCTGGATTTGTATGTACAGAGAAATCTAGAAAACGTGGAAAGATCTTCAGAAATGGCAAGGCTGTCTTTCCCCTTAATCCAAGGAAACTAAGAAAAATTATAATCACAGATGATGTTGGAAGCCTGGAGCAGGTGAAAAGAGGATGAGTAGATATTGTCATTCCAATGGACGTTTAATGTACTGGAATACCTGCTACCTGTTGGCCCCCATTCTTGCTCTCCACCTTTCCAAAACAGAGGGCTGTCAGCCATTGCTCAGGTATTTCAGGACATAAAAGCACAGTTAGGACCCTGCTGAAGCCAAGATCATTTTACTTGTGATTAAATCCATATACTCACGCTACCACAGTACCTAAACTGGCTTTTTCAAAATAACTTTGGAGCATAAGAGATATTGTCAAACAAGGCAGCTGTAACACAGAGCTATGAATGAAGCACTGAGGGCTTGGAGAAACCACTGGTTTCACTGTAGCCCTTTAAAGTAGCATTTTAAAGACATTTCCAAATTTATCACCAATATTACTGTGAAGTGCCACAAAGGTAATCTGTCCAGGACACCACCAGGTTTTTTGGTTGCATTACACTCCCCTCCTTTTGCAACTATTTACCTGTAAGTGAAACAGATTTTATTTAGCTTTAAAGTCATCAGGTTCTCCGTATCACGGACAAAAGCAGACTGTACCTAGTGCTAAATACGCTAGCCGAATTTCTTACCCACTCTGCATTAACCACCCCCAGCATGGGGCACATCAGCAGTTAAGTCAAATGCCAGAGTGTGGGCAGTGTCTTATTTAACCAGATCATTTCCTTAAGTGAAACACCAGCCAAGAACAGAAACCTGTTACGGCACATTTTCTTCATCATTAGCTGTAGTGCTTTATGCCATATGCTCGGTATTATCACAATCCTTTGAAATACAACCTTAATTCCAACCAAAACAGAAGGCTGGCATGCTGCTTACTGCAGTCAGTTTATGAAAGTTTCCACAGCCAACATGATACAAGAATTCTTGTTCAAGGTAACATTGTCTACATTTACCTTACTTCAAAACAAGTTTAACACACTAAATGTAAAAATAAACAAATAAATCAGCTTCAACTCAAGCTTCTCTTTTGGGTCTTTTTGGCAAAGCAATGGCTTTTGTCAAGTTGCAAGTTATAGCACTGGTATAACCATTAAGACTGCTGATCCAGGTCTGTGTGCATTAGCTTCTGCCGGGACAAATCAAAGCAACAGTCCCCCCCCAGTGTCCAAAACTAAAACTTCCTGCTCCTTGACGATCTGGAAAGAGGGGGAGCGTTTTCATCCTCTTGCCAGTAATGACCATCTGTACCCATTAACACCTGTAGCGGATGCATCTGTATCCCTGCAGTTGCAGAGATGGGAAGAAGATCCCGGTCAGAACAGGGGAACAGGTGTCTGAGGGACCTTACAAACACCATCTGGAGCATTAATTCCCTAGGCTGCCAGTTCAAATTTAACCCAAAGCAGTAATAACCAAAGATTACTTGTGATCAGGTATGTGTTTAGCAGCTTAAATGAACACTCTAATGTTTTAATCAGCAAAATACATACTTCCAAATCACTGAAGGTGCGGAGAGGTTTCCAAAGTTCCTAATAACCACGGATTCGCCTTGTTATCCACCCTCTCAATGCAGCTACAGCTGCCATCTCCTCCGCCTGCTCACATGCCTGGCTCTCCATCCAGGGCTGTCCCCTGGTGCTTTGCCACACTGGACTCGAGTCATTTGCAAATTAGAGAAGTGGGAGCACTTGAGAATGCTGACAGGGCTGACAAACTCAACAAAAAGGTCAGGAGGCTCCCGATCATCAGCAGCTTTTCACTGATGAGGTGTTTATTATCCCTGCCCAAAGTCACATCCTGTCCAAGCAAATGTATTACTTGGGCAGAGCTAGATGCTGTTCTCGTGGAACCAGAAGAGAACAAAAAACCCTGGGGAAGGGAGGGGGAGTGCTTCTCTGCTGCAATTAAAAAGGAAGTCTGAAAGATGGTACAGCCCCAGAACCTTGTCACACAGATTTAGGACAGCAGGTCTGGCCATCTACTGAACCAGAGTGTGCCAAAACAAAACTATGTGCGTACAGTGTTTGACAGGTATATGTGGCATGCCTCTCCTTCAGGAAAAAGTGTAGGCTGAACAGCAGCCCTTGCTCTTCTGCTCCTGTGATGCCAGCCCACAAGAGAGCATAGGAAGCCGCAAAAGACTACGTGTGCCAAGAAGGTCCCTTACCTCTTACTTCAAGCAAAGCTCTCAAGCCCAGGGAGTTCAACAGCCCAAGCTTTTGCAACATTTAAAGATTCAGCCCCTCTTAACTACTCATCACATTTAGTCATAATCTCGCTTCCTTCATCTAATTTTGTCCTAGTTTACACAGCCCCTCTCTGGAACAGATCTAGAACAGGAAGAGACATTTTTACTGGACTCCTTCCCTCTTCCCTCCAAAAATGGACATTTCCCTCATTTCTGTTCAGCACCAAGCACTCCGTACGACTGTACCAACAGCAGGAGAAGGGAAAGGGCTGTTTAAACCTGCATTACAGCAGAAGGAGAGGGCAAGGAAGAAAATAAAAATGATAATAAAATAATCATACCATAGCCCAAGTGCATTTCACGCATACCAAGGACTCCCTGAATTCCTTTAGCATCCTCTACTCCCCAACAAGCTCCCTCTGAAAGAGCTCCCGTCCTCTTGCACTGGGGTTCCTGAAGCTTCGCTGTGTTACTTTATGTCAAATCCCTCATTCTCCCATTCACTCACTCACGGGTATTGGCCAGATTCCCCACCCCAATCAGTGCTTCACACTTCTCCTCTACCAGGTCAGGGGCTTAATGCTGCTTCCTGCACACCTCCCCGCTCCCAGTTCATCCTGGGTGCTCCAGTTCATCCTCTTCTCTACTCTGTTCTCTCTTCCACAAAGCTCGGTTGTGCCCTTGCTGTTTACCGGCCTGTCAATATCTCCCCCTTATTTCTCCCTCTGACAGGAAAAAACTCGAGCCAATCCTTCTTTCAGTTTAAAAGATAATTTTAAAACTTTTAAATTTTACAAAATTTAAAAGCTTAAAATCTATAAATTCGCTACACCATTTCTTAAGCTATTCTACAGTCCTTATCACAAGTCTCCCTTCCCTCTCTCTGCTCTTTGCATGAGAGCCTTTCAGCCCCTGTCCCCTTTTGCCATCGCTGCCCAAACTGCAAATCCATATTCCATGCTTTCCTCCTCCTGTCTTCCTCTATTCCCAGTAACCTCCAGGAAATTATAGACAACAGAAACAAAGGCCTTGAAAAAACCCAAATAAATGAGACAGGATGGAACCTGAGAAGCTGAGAGCAAGCAGGACAAATCTTGCTCACTGG